TTCTGGAGGCAAGTTGATTAATTGTTCTGTCAGGAAATTTGAGGGCCTCCTACAAAAATGAGGGAGGTAATCTATTTTCCAAAACATCAAAAGGCACAACAAGAAACAATGGATAGAAACTAACCAAAGAGAGAAGCAACCTAGGACTAAGGAGAAATTTCTTAAAGTGAGACCAACCAACCAAAGAAATACCTTGCCTTCAGAAGTTGTGGGTGCTCCATCACTAGAGGCTTTCAAAAAGAGTGAGGGAAGTAAACTCCAAAAGGACAGTGCCAGGAACCACTAAAACAATGTAGAAAACTTAAAACAGCCATTTCCCTATTTTAAAAAAGTCAACCCCAAAGCAAACGCAACAGCTGAGAGGGAAACTAAGAGCAGCTGCTCAGGCTAATTGAAAGCCTGGACATGCTGCCAAAAGCCATTAACCCTTCCAACTCTATTATTCTATGTTCTCTATGTTCTAAATTGGGTGCTTCACAGCCGAAGGAATACAGCTGGATGGACCACACATGCATTAAATTCACAGCCTGTATGATCAAGCTGTATCATTGTCCCTTCCGGTATCCTTTCCTCCAGGAAGAAACAAGAAATAGCCAACATTTCAGCAGCTATAAAAGGTCTTGGGAAACTCTAGGGAGTATCAGCTGATCACAGAAGTGTTACATAATACTCTTTATAATGAAAATGTTTGTAATCTTGTCCTTCTTCCTGAAGGGAAAAGGTAAATCCCATCCCTAGATGGGTGATTGATGGGTTTCCCTGCCCTAATCCTGTCAGTTTCTGTTGTTTATTGACTTGATTCAGCATGCATTGGCTGCATTCCAGCTGCAACTGTTAAGTGGAGCTATTAAAGAGAGAAAAGAAACCTTCTTGCACTTTATTTTTAACCGGTTCTCCGAACTGCCTAAGCAATTTAATAACGGTTTGGGCGAACCGGTGAAAACCAGCTGAATTTCACCTCTGATCCAGTTGCTTCCTGAAGAGACATATTTGGGACAACCTAAGACTGGCTAATCACAGCTATCATTTTTAAACAAACATATGTATCTCACTAAGAGATACTTTACGCTCCCGTTCTTTCTAAAATTTTGATGTTCTAATTATTTGGGGGGGAGGGGAAGGAGGAGAGAGGAAATGTTTTCCATAGTAGCAAAAATTTACACAACTGAAAGGAAAGTCAGAAATGTGTGTATATGTCTGTATCCACATTGGAGTTTGTGACCATAAGCAGTAGATTTTCTTTGCCTAAGCATTTTAAACAATACATATTTGAAATCTGTTTCAGGTATGAACGACATGTAAAACATTGTAACAATATAATCAACTTTGTTGCAAATTAAGCTGATATTGATTCTGTAGAACCAGGCATCCATATGTATTGACCTGTGGTAAATATTGATTTATGCCAAAGAAGAGATTAATATTTACCTCAAAGATCAATACATTTTGATGTCATCTGAAATTAAAATCAATATGAATTTTGTTAGATCATTTTGAATAAGTTCAAGAAGAAATATTTATAATCATCATTTTGAAAATGAACCTCTTAAGAGGATTTTTCTTCTTATTCTTTTAGCTATGGGATTGAAGTTAGAAGATTTATTTTCTATGACTAGAAGCTGCTTTGGTCAGGCTCCAAACCATCCCAGAGCCAAACATTCCAAAACAATTGTTTTCCATTCCTGCCTGCCATCCCCAAAGCATTTGGAGGGACAAAGAATAAATGTATTTAGTTTTCCTTAGCCAATTCAGAAACCACACATTTTCTCCTCAGCCAAAATCTGGAAGATGTGTTCAAAGGGATAAAATAAGAAGCACTTAAACTTAATCTATGTAAAGGCAATGAATTGATGAGAAAGAGGCCTGACTCATAATTTATGGTGTTTCTTTGCTTAATAAGAAACATGTCCTTAAATTACTGAAAGAAAAGGGGTGGCATATTTTTAGCACTCTAGACTCCAGTGCATGCTGAATGGCATATGAAATCACTCAGCCAGAGAGTATTTCAGTTAACACTGAGGCAGAAGAAACCTTCTTCTTTTTTTAAGCATTGGCTCAGAGACATTTGAGACCATGCAAATTGTTATCGCCAAGTGGATTCAAGGTGATTAAGCAAATCATATTTATATAACTTTAGTGAAAAAAGTCTACTTTGCTTTGGACTGGACTACAGCAGATCTTTTATGTCTCCAAAGTTTATTCTTTGCTAGTTGGTTTACTTACTGTATAATGAAAGAATCATGATTTGGATTATTTATTTATTATTTATTTTATTTATTTGTTTAAATTTCTATACCGCCCTTCTCCAATATAGGACTCAGGGCGGTGAACAGCCAAAGTAAAAACAAGACATACAAAATCTAAAAACTGTTTAAAATAATTAAATATTTTGGCCGTAATTAAAACAATTCCAATTTAAAATCAGTTTAAAATTTAACTCAAGCCAGCCCAGCTAGTTGAAATAAATGGGTTTCAGGGCCTGACAAAAAGGATCATAGTATTAGGATCATAGTATTAGAAGATTTACTTTTCCTCGTATTTTCTTCATTTCAGAACGAAGTGACGATTCAAAAGATTGTTTTAAGACAAAAAATTGCCATGTGTTTATATTACTGGAAAGCACATGCAGAATAATTAGATGCTGGTGCATGGCAATGGAGAATGAAATAATGCAAAATTAATTGGCAAGGGAAATGTTGTCACCTTCACTGTAGAAAATATGAAGGGTTGACCTGCACAGGTCTAATTATAATTGCAATTAAATGACTCACCACAGGGTCAGTGTTAACAGTTTATGAATTATGATTGGATGCACCCAGGAAATAACACAATTCCATCATGCCAGAAAATAAGACATGATAAATTAGACTGGCAATATCTCCATTGGTCAATGAAATATTCTAGAAATGAATAGAGTCAGAGATAGTTAAAATTGTTTATTGTCTCAATTTTAAGATGAAACAGTAGCATTCTTATTCAAAACTCATCATGACTAACCAATATAGTTTAAATATTATTTGTATACGAGAATGGTGTAGAAAATTGGAAATTGGACTGAAATAGAAAAATTTAGCTATCAATTCTATCCTCAGGCATAGAAGTCCACCAGGATAGTTTTGAAGCACTCATCTTCTCTTAACCCAAACCCATGTCTATGGCATTGGCATCCTTCAATCTCAAGAGACTATGGTATTGTGCTCTGGAAAGAGGTCCTAAACAGCATCTAGTGTGACTAAAAAGGCCAATTCGAGAGTGGCAATCCCTTCCACGCTGAGGGCAGATACATTCTGTCCCCTGCCCAGCCCCCAGATTTCACTGGTTCCGGGACGACCTCTTTGCCCCAGCCTGCCGAACAACTGTCTCTTCAAATTGGAGAAGGCCATGCTGCGTCTTTAGCCTCCAAGCTGAATGACATGTCCATGGCTGTGGATAGAAGAAAATATTGGCAGCCTCCAGATTGCTGAGCACTTACAGAAAAAAATACAATAATAAAAATACAATGTAGTATTCTCCACAAAACCTTGCACATTCAACTCAGTTCAAGATGTTTGAAATAACTTTATTAATCCTAAAAGTGAGGGAAGAAAAGGAAGGCAGGGATACAAATTTATTTCTACTTATATTTCCTTCTTATTTGTGGTAGCATATAAAATATATGCTTTGGTTGGTTGCCTAGTCAGCCAGTTTTGTATTTTTGTCCACCTATCAAGTCCTTACCAAGGACCCAGGGGAGCAAATGTTGCTTTGCAATTGAATGATGGTGATTTTGTCAATACTGATGGCATTGGTGGTGCTCAAGATATTTTGGGATTGCACCATGGTACCTGTTAATAGTACTATCTTTGTACTGGTACTATCTTTACTTTCTTTTGCCTCAGTCATTCTACTCTTTGCAGATCTTTGTATTTTGTGATTTTCTCTAGTTTTTTTTTTCTTCAATTCTTTTGCCTTTTTTTATAAACAGTTGTTAAATCTGGAATGTTACATGTCAGGTTCTGGTCTGTTTGACTTCTAAAGTCCCAAAGCATTTGAGAACTTTTACGACCCCTGTTCATTTTCTGTTTTTGTCTATTTTGTGGTCCCACCAATTCTTGCTTGCAGGCAAATGATATTTCCTGCAGATATTCCACCATTGTTGCTATTTTTTGTATCCCATTGTCTATAGTCAGCCTATGTGATCTTCTTGCAGCAATTATTATTTTGCATGACTTGTCTGATTTGATAGCAGAAATATAGCAGGCTGAAGTAAGGCAAAACAAATATAAATTCAAGCACTATAGATATTATCCATCTCCCTGAAACCTTTTTATGATACAGTCAATCACAGGAAGTTTAGACAAGAATGTCATAGAACACCAAAAGAGAGGTGAGATGAAGTTTTATTCAGTAATGCATTTCTCTGCAACAAACTAGGTAAATGTATTATTTTGTTATTCTATTGGAGAAATTTACATAGAGCACAGGAAACCTGAAACTAGTAAAAATGGCTGTTCATAAGAATGAACAGAATTAAAGGGACAGCTGGATAGTAACAAAAACCCCTAAGCAAGAAACTATATTGTTGTATAAAGTGCCATATAAGTTGTTAGTAATGTATAAGAAAATGTAATCGAAAAGGAATTTGTTTCCTAATACAAATATTGACTCCCATTCTCTGTTAAACATCTATGATGGATAGTATGTTCACCCAGAGTCCCCATCAAAAAAGGTGAACATAAATGACACAGTGGGAGAGAAGCCTGTAGAAAGCTGTCCCAGTACTAGGGAAGGTGAATGCAAAGTGGTAAATATAGTTATTGTTTTCTAGTCTCTCACTTTTAGGCACAACCTTCTCTCAGATCAGCATTTAATCAATATGGTCTATGATTATGACTCTGCAATAAGATAATCAACTGTTATATTGTCTGATTTCTGTCTCCAGTAGCAGGCAGAGATCTATGACTTTGTCATGATAAATGATTACTATTAATAATTGCTTAATTTTATATTTTGCCTTTCAGACACAAGGATTCCCAAGGGCACCAAAACTCTAGGAGCTGCTGAGCAGGCAGTGCTTCCTACCTAAAGCCAAACAAGTGCAATTTGGCATTATGATCAATCTGTTCTTTTTTTATGAAGTCCAAAGGAAGAGCTGGCAAGTAGTTTGCCACAGTGATAGGATTTTCCATATGCCTCATTTCCAGAAAAAAAAGTAATTGGTTAGGTTTCTTTTTAAATATACAATGAAATTTTATTATGGTAATTGGAAACTTATTAGCCTTGGGATAACCAATAATTAAATGTTTTGGGAGTTATAGTTAGCAACATTGGAAGATTGCACATATCCTACATTTAATTTAGGGACTATGTAAATGTATATTAAAAATAATTATTCTTTCCACCCCAATCAAATGAATGAACCACTAATTATAAATTTTGGTGACTCATCATTAATCTTAGTTTTTTTGGTATTTTTTTGGTGGTGCTTATAAGTGGGAATTATAGTTCAGAGCAGAGATGGCATGCCTAGCAATCTCATGAATCCCAATGACTGTGTAGCATTCTTTGTGATATCAGGAACTTTGGGGCAATCTAGTGTGCCGGATGCCAGATCATTCTATTACATGGGATAAATTAAGCATATGTCTTCCTTGTAAATGGTTTCTGGTATCTCCAGTAAAATGATGAAATCCTAGAAAGCTGCAAGTCACTTTTCACAGTGTGGGGAAGATGGACCTACATTGATCTGACAATTAATGTTCTTATCTTGTGGGCCTGCTACAAGTACAAATTATCAATCATGACTTTTTTGTGGATTTAGCAATCCTAAAGTATGTTTCCCAACAACTTGGGATAGCCAAATACTCTATGGGTCAACACTAGAACACAACTAATGTACAATATTACTTTTATGGAACAGCAGCAGTGAAGAATGCTTGATTTATCTGCTGAACTTTCTCTAAATTCCTTAAAAGTTGTGGAAGTTTCAGCCATTGTTGATGCTCTTTTCTGCTATGAATTTTTCACGTTTTTATAAATCTCCCAGGTTAGTTCCTGTTCTTAAAAATCCCACAGGAAGAGTTTTTTTATGGCATCTTCCCTTGGGATTACCAGAGAAGTTTCAGGGACTGGAGAAAAACATGCATAATGAACAAGATATAAGCCACACATATTCTTCAGCTGCCATGTAAAAAAGATGGCGCAAGACCTTTTAGGCTCAAATGAACTGCAAGTAAAGTTGTTATCCTGAGCATCATTTCTAAAGGGGGAATACAATAGTACAATACCTTTAGAACAGAATCCCTGCGATGCAGCATATATTTTGTGAATAAAATCTTAGGTAAAACTTCTGGCATCTTGAGATATGTGTGACTGAAAAAATGGCTAAGACAGCTGCTATCATATAAGCAATGGGTTACAGATATGACTAATATAAGGAAGTTGGCATCAGGCTCTATTTATTTGATTGGGTTCAATAAGATTACACAAGATTAAACCAAAGTAAAGTAATGTAAGCCTTGGTATAACAATTTGCAACCTGATAAATAATGCAGGATTTCCTCAGGGTATAACTTAAGTATCAGTCTTACCCATATTCAAGCCAAAAGGAGAAAGGGCAGGATATAAAATTTGCCAAAATAAAATAAAACATTTGTTTCGGCACAATATAGTATTGTACCAATATAGTTATCAGGTAATGCAGCTGATTTATAACTGAAAAATCCTATATGGCCCACACCTACAATGAAATATCTGAAATCCAGTACAAACCTCCAAATCATCTTATTTTACTGGGCAGTTGTCTATGTCAATGCTGCTTGCTTTTTTGGCACATGATAAAAGTTATCAGGTAAATGTTTTATATTTTCCTTTCAGCCTAATTTTTTTTTTAAAAAAAAAACATCATTACCTAAGCACCAATTGTATATCCATCTTTGAAAATAAGTCATTTCCAGGTATGCTGTGAAGAATTAAAATTTAGTGATATCAAGTAATTAACCCTTAAATCAGAAGTGTAAAATTCTCAAGTGTAGGCATTTCAAAATGATTGATCTGCTTTGTATTACATTAACTAGTCTTTCTTTTCTTTTTGTTGGGACAGCTCTTGACTGGCTGCCCTTGACACGTTACTTTGGCTTGAAGCTTTTTTCCTGACAGCAAAGAGCTTCCATTAACCTTGATTCTGAGAGGTCAAATAGCAATACCAATTTATATGGTTCTTTGAGCTTTCAAAAACATTTAGCCAAAAAATGATTGATAATAATGTTGAAAGTGGCAGAAACGTAATGGAAAATAAATGTGACAGATAAAAAAAATGATTTGAGGACAGTCTCCAACATTGTTAACTTTATTTATTTTGTTTATGGCATTTTTAAGCATGTAATAATTTTATTAAATTTGATTTCAACAATATGTTCTTATATCTTCGGGCTTGACTTTTTAATATTACTTTTAAATTTCCACTGAATGACTGGTATGTCATCAGTATTTTACTTATGTATTTCCTGTAATTAAGAGACCTTGAGTTCTAGCCCTACCTTAAGCAGAAGGCAATTTAGGTGATCTTGGACCAGTCTCTCAGTCAAGGAACACAGGCAATGGCAAACCATTTACAAAAAAACTGCAGGGAATATTCCAGGCAATTGCCAGGATTTGAAAACTAGGCCTATATATACAAATTCCTATAAGGCTATCACTCATTTCAGACAAAAGCAGGATCCTCCAAATTATTTGGAGGACTATTATTTAGTGGACTAAAGCACTGTTATTAACATCTGCTCCTTGCAATTATTGCAAGTTCAAATCTCACCAGGCTCAAGGTTGACTCAGCCTTCCATCCTTTCAAAGGTAGGTGAAACGAGGACCCAGATTGTGGGGGCAATAAAATGACTTTGTGTAAATATACAAAAGTATGAAGGCTATTGTTTAACACATTGTAAGCCGCCCCGAGTCTCTGGAGAAACACGGCATATAAATTAAAGCAAAAAAAAAAAAAAAATTACAGAAGAAACACCACACTTAGTATCACGTTTATATAATTATTAAAGTGGTTTTTAAAATATGCCTATAAGAGAAAGTCATAGCAGATTGTATTACATAAATGACATTTAAGTTAAGGAAGGAAAAATTTGGCTACTAATTGGATGGTAGGTTAGTGTTGTAAACTATATTGGGAAGTGAAAAAAGCATTGTGGAAAGGTCAGTGCCAAAGTAGGTGTATCAGTCCCCTTTTCACTTGCCCCATTTTAATAGTTTGTTGCAATGGTTAAGGTCCTGAATTAGAAACTGGGGAACTGTGAATTCTAATCCTCACTTGGTCACAAACCTGGATGGGTGAGTCAGAAACAGGACAGTCAATGTCAGCCAACCCACCTCACAGGGTTGTTATGTGGAGAAACTAGGAGGTAGAAGCATTATGTATGTTGCCTTGAGTTGTAAAAAAAATATAAGTGACACATAAATCTAACAATAACATGGACATGCTTGTGCATTCCTTCTCCATGGCTGGTTATATTTCATAACATACAACACAATATGCCTGTCAAGCCCCAGCCGGGTCTCGCCACTCACGGGACTGGAGGGAAGGCGGTTACCAGCTGTTCGAAAGGTCCACATGAAAGGCGGCTTGTCACACGGTCTCGAGGCGTCGCAACACAGCACAGAGGACGGCGTGGAGCAGAGACCGAGGGCGCGGCGCTCTCCTATGACATCAGGGAAGCGCCGGCTTTTTCACCGCCGAATTGCTGTTGGGAGGGGTTTTGCCTTTAACTGCCGGATGGTGGTTAGAGTGGGGAAATATGTATAAATAGCGCCACACAGTGGCTGCGTGTAGCGCTGACTTTACACTTATGATCCGGCTTGTTCTTTTCTGCTGGCTGTGTTGCTGAAACGACCAAAAGTAAAAAGCATTGCAAATTGCTCTTTTGTCTGGCTGGCTGGGTGACGAGCCGAGAGAAAGTCAGCGCTACCCTCTTCTTTCTAACTTTTTGACTGACTGTTGGAGCATGGCTGAAGGGACGGTGCCAGGAGGGTTAGAGTCGGAGCTGGCGTTTGAGGCTACCGCAGAGGAGGTGCTTGCAGAGGCGGAGGCACCGCAGGAGACCATAGAGCAACCAGCTGTTAGACTCAAACTACACATACCATGTGGGGATGACGGTCATGGGATGGATGGCACGCAGGGTCAGGACCCTGGCCGCCTTGGACAGTCAACTGGTGGAGACTGGTGGCCTAGCTCTACCCTCGTAGGTCCCAAGATGCCGACCCCTCACCCCATGGGTCCGTCTTTCTGGGGCTGGAGGGAGCCCCGTTGGACAGACGAGGAAGAGGGGGACTGGGGTTTTGCTGCTACTGGAACCGGACCCAGTACTATGGATACCCTTCGGGACCGCTTTGGGGAGGGGAGTTTCCATGATGCCCATGCCTGGCAGCCGTGGGCCACTGGGCTGGACACATCACAAAGCATGTCCGGGCAGCAGACTGGGTTGCCCAGTTCGAGTTCACGTTTTCGTATTGCTAGTCCTAAGTTCCGGAGGGGACAGGAACCAGGTCAAGTGGGTGACCATGGGGGATCCTGGGACCAGAGGTCGCCTGTGGGAGAGAGCGTTGGTCAGGCCCCAGAACAGCAGCCACAGAGGACGGAGGTCGGGGCTGAAAGGAGGACACAGCGATCAGTGATGGATCGACCTTGGCCAGAGAGGAGGGTACGAAGTGAGCGGAGGAGTGCTGGAGCGAGCAGAACCCCGGATCCGGTACCAGTGTGGGGCCCCACGCTGGGGATGTGGGGTCCCCAGCCCACCTGGGGTCCTCCTGCATTGCAAGCCACATTTGATGGAAACCCAGACCGAGTGGCGTTGTTCTTGAGTCAGGTGATAAGCTATCTAGACCAATATGGGCGCTGGTACCCCTCCCAATGGGCCGTGGTTGTGGCCATCACAGTGGTGTTAACTGGCGATGCTGCTGATTGGGTGGCCAGCTTGCATCGGAATCACGCTAAAGAACTGGTGGATGTAGGACAGTCTTTGGAGGCCCTTCGCTCCACTTTTGAGGACGAGTCCAGTGTGCAAGTGGCGGAAGGTGATCTAGTTGCACTCAAACAAAGGGGTGGCCCTGCAAAGGACTATGTATGAAACTTCCAGAAGTTTGCCAGTCGTTTGGTGGACTGGCCAGAACGAATGTTGGTGCAGCAATTTCGTATGGGGTTGGACCGGGAGCTGAAACAGGCCTGTGTGTACCGGGGTCTGGCTCTGCGGTTGGCTGTTTGGTTCAAGGCAGCAATAGAGTTGGATGTGGGCCTCCGAGAGTTCTGTGCCAAACCAGAAGCCACCCTTGGACAACGGCGATCCACGGTAGAGAGGCCGCTGGAAAAACCCCCAACAGTACGGGATCCTCCTAGGGGTTTTGTGCCACCTGGTCGGTCCCAGGACAGAGCCCAGAGGCCAATCTTTCATTGTTATAGGTGTAATCAGGTGGGTCACAGAGTGGCCGATTGCCCCATGCCGCCACCACGACCACAGTCCCAAAAACAAACTGCTGGAGCCCCCATGAGAGGATGTTCGAGACAACCAACAGAGCGAACACAGGCGCTCCAAGGCCCGAAAGTGACTGTAAACACCCAGACTCGAGACATCAACCCAACATCAGCAGTGGAGAGGTTTCCAGTGGTGTCAGGAGACAGTGACGATGAGGAGCCAGAGGACACAATGGTGAGCGATCCTGTTTATCCCTTTGTTATTCCGGTGGTATTGAGGAACCCACGTTGTCCTACTGGTCTCCAGTATGGGGCTTTGATCGATACTGGGTGTACCCGGTGCCTTATCCGTAAGGCTGTAGTGGATGCTCTAGGTCTGAGAGTGAGAAGACTAAGAGTCCCGGTCAGGTTTGAACAAATGGACAGCACATTGTTGGGAGGGGCGCCTGCCACCCATGTGACAGAGATGATGTCATTGGAGATAGGAGGTCACCAAGAAACCATTCGTTTTATTGTGATTGAGACGATGATCGAACTGCTCATATTGGAGCTGACATGGTTAGACAAATGGCAGCCTAACATTTGGTGGGAGTGGGTTTTTCGGAAGCTCAGAATACCACTCGATTCGGAATCGACCACCCCGAGCCCTATCCCATCTACGCCCCTGGTAGCAGAGAACAAGAACAGTAGCAGTGTCTCAACAGAGTCTTCAAATACTAAAGGATTTCCTAGTGTGTACGAGGACCTGGCAGCCGTGTTTAGCGAGGAGGAGTGCAAGGTATTGCCTCCCCATCGGTCCACCGACTGTGCGACCGAGCTTGTACCTGGAGCCAAATTGCCAAAACCGCGAATATATGCCATGACACAACCGGAATTAGCTGAGTTGAGACGGTACATAGATAAGAACTTGGCCAGAGGTTTCATCACCCCCAGTAGGTCCCGTATGGCAGCCCCTGTTCTCTTCCGGGAGAAGAAGGACGGCGGGTTGCGTCTCTGTGTTGACTTCCGGGGTTTGAACGGGGTGTGTGTGGAACATTTGTATCCTCTCCCTTTGATGAAAGATCTTCTATCCACATTATCAACTGGTCGCATCTTTACAAAGCTCGATTTACGAGAACCTTATTATCGTGTTTGCATTAAACCGGGGGATGAATGGAAGACCACTTTCCACTGTCCTCTGGGTAGTTATCAGTTCCGGGTTATGCCATTCGGCCTCCAGGGTGCGCCAGCTGTGTTCATGCAGCTGATTAATGAGGTGCTGCATGACCATTTATACAGAGGGGTTTGGTGTACCTGGATGATATCCTAATCTATACCCGCGACATGGAAGAACATTCTTTGGTACGCAAGGTCTTGAAAAAACTACTGGCTGCTAAATTGTTCGTAAAACTCTCTAAGTGTGAGTTTCACAAAACAAAAATCGACTACTTAGGATATAGGATATCAGGCGATGGTGTAGAAATGGATCCGCAAAAAATACAAGTGATAGTGGATTGGCAAAGCCCTAAGATGAGAAAACAATTCCAAAGCTTCCTCAGGTTTGCAAATTTTTATTGTCAGTTTATCCCCGCCTTTGCCAGTATTGCTCTACCATTGACAAACCTTTTACGGACTAAACCAGCCACGGCAAAACCAAGGCCGGGTCAAGTGTTGAACTGGACCACGGAGTGTCAAGTCATTTTCAACCAATTGAAACACCTGTTTACAAGGGAACCGATTCTTAAGCATCCCGATCCTGCATGGGAGTACATCGTTCAGGTGGATGCTAGCGATGTTGCTGTGGGGGCGGTGCTACTGCAAAAGGATGAACAGGGTTGTGTACAACCATGTGCTATACCTCCCGCAAATTGAGTCCCACGGAGAGGAGGTGGGCAATTTGGGAGAAAGAGGCATTTGCTGTCCGATGGGTGCTGATGATGTGGCGTCATTTCCTCAAAGGGACAACTCTCCCGTTCGAGGTGTGGACGGATCATAAAAATCTAGAGGACTTGCAAACACCAAGACGATTATCCCCAAAACAGCTAAGATGGGCACTATACTTCCGTCGGTTTTCATTCCGACTGAAATACGTCCTGGCAGGAAGGAACTTCCCGTGTGCCACAATACAATATTAGGCGAGAAGATGTAGTAGAGGTTCCTATACCGCCTGGTTGCTCGGTTCAGACTCTATCAGTAGCAATTCGATCAGAACCATCTTTGCTAACTGAGCTGAAAACAGCCGTCCAACAAGATTCATGGTTAGCACAGAATCAGGTCTTGATAACCATGCGGGACGGCTTAGGGTGGAATGGAGACCGGTTATATGTTCTGGAAAGTCTTCAGGAGACTGTTCTTCGTCAATGTCACGATTCCAAACAAGCAGGACATTTCGGGTTTTTAAAAACGCTTCACTTAATCAGACGGCAATTTTGGTGGCCACGGATGCGAGGTGACATCGACCAATATGTAAAAGGATGTCCCATATGTGCAGCAGCCAAACCATGGTCTGGAAAACCGATTGGGTTATTACAACCAGTGGCTGACCCCAGCCGACCATGGGAGGAGGTTGCTATGGATTTCATAGTAGACCTCCCTACCAGCAACGGTTACACTGTCATATGGACAGTAGTGGACTTATTTTCAAAGCAAGCCCATTTTGTACCTTGTCGTGGTTTGCCCTCTGCCCGACGGTTGACAGAGCTGTTCATTCATCACGTATATCGGTTGCACGGGGTCCCCAAACAAATTATATCGGATCGGGGTGTTCAGTTCACTGCAAAGTTTTGGAAGTCTTTCATACACAGGATAGGATCCACCCAGGGGTTGAGTTCAGCATTTCACCCTAGCACCAACGGAGCTGTGGAACGTGCTAACGCCGCTGTAGAACGCTATCTCCGTTGCTATGTGTCATACCAACAAACCGATTGGTCCAATCTTATCCCTTTCGCAGAGGTTACATACAACAACATCACCCACCGTAGTACAGGGCTTTCCCCCTTCCAGATAGTCTATGGTAGAGAGTTCCCAGCCATACCAGAGGTAGAACCTCCCTCGACGAATATAGATACGCCATCTGGATGGGCAGACAAGATCCACTGAATCTGGCCAGGTGTTAAGTCCACTTTACAAAAAGCGGCGGAGAAATATAAGGCGTATGTGGACAAGAAAAGAGCAGACCCAAAACCATTTGCAGTGGGGGACCAAGTTTATCTATCGACCAAATATTTAAAGTTACAAATCCCAAGCAGGAAACTAGGTCCAAAATATATCGGCCCATTTCCTATAATGCGCGTTATCAACCCTGTTACTGTAGTACTTAAATTACCCTCACTACTAGGTAAGATACACCCGGTCTTCCATAGTAGCTTATTAAAACCCGTTACTGTGGATAGGAATACTAGTTCAGCCAGACCACCAGGACCGGTCCATACAGATCAATATGAACTAGATAAGGTCTTAGATTCCAAACTCCATAGGGGCCGACTACACTACCTGGTGTGCTGGAAAAGTTATCCTTTAGCACAGGCCTCCTGGGTGGCAGCACCTGATGTTCATGCCACCCGTTTAATTAACCGATTTCACCACAAGTATCCAGATAGGCCAGGACCATCAGGAATGGTATCCGCTGTGACTAATATGTCTGTTTTGCCTTCCTCAGGTGGACTCCTGGTAGAGGGGGAGCCGCCTGTCGAGCCCCAGCCGGGTCTCGCCACTCACGGGACTGGAGGGGAGGAGGTTACTAGCTATTCGAAAGGTCTACATGAAAAGCGGCTTGTCACACGGTCTCGGGGCGTTGCAACACAGCACAGAGGACGGCGTGGAGCAGAGACCGAGAGCGCGGCGCTCTCCTATGACATCAGGGAAGCGCCGGCTTTTTCACCGCCGAACTGCTGTTGGGAGGGGTTTTGCCTTTAACTGCCGGATGGTGGTTAGAGTGGGGAAATATGTATAAATAGCGCCACACAGTGGCTGCGTGTAGCGCTGACTTTACACTTATGATCCGGCTTGTTCTTTTCTGCTGGCTGTGTTGCTGAAACGACCAAAAGTAAAAAGCATTGCAAATCGCTCTTTCGTCTGGTTCTTTTGTTGCAATCCGGGCTGGCTGGGTGACGAGCCGAGAATGGCTATTATACAAAATGATATGGTTATTTCTCAAAGCACCAATTATATCAGCAGCAATGTGAAGGATCAGAAGGATCATCATCCCCAAATTCCCTTGTTGCTGAAGAATCAAGAATAGGATAAAAAAGAATAGACTATTTTTCAAATATTTTATGACCTATATTGGTCGATCATTATAAAAATGTATGCAATGAATAGACTTTCTTTATAATGAGATGTCTTTATGCTTGTATTTGAAAGCATATAAAAGAGAATTTTTGGCTGTATCTCAGTACTTTAATTAAAATATACATTTGGAAAACTTTTGGCTATGATTAAAAGTGACAACATATTGTTTAATATAAAGGCCAGGTCTTTATTTCATAAAATTTGATTTGATTTTTTAATTATTTATTTTCTTAGTTTTGCTCTTAATTTTTCTTTGTAAAGCAAAGTTATAAAGATAAACATTCTTCTTTTTTCATTATGAACCTTTTTCAGCTTTTTTCCTTTTTTCAGGTTTTTCTATATTTTTTCCCAAGAAAATATCATCCCTGGACCTATCATGTAAGTTTGATTATGTAAGTCTTCTTTTTTATAAGCAGTAACAATAATTTATAATTATTGTTAATAATTATTAAGCAGTAACTTAATAATTGCCAGCAGACATAAATAATCATTTTTGTGTGAACATTTTCTGAAATTCAAAATAAAAAAAAAATACAAAATTTGACATTCATTAAAATTAGTAGGAATGCCATCATAAAATATTAACAAGTAGCAATGGTGGAAAGTAAGGAGAGAACCAACTTAGAACTAAGGAGAAATTTCCTGACAGTTAGAACAATTAATCTATGGAACAATTTGTCTCAAGAAGTAACCAGAAAAGTAGATGAAGTACCTTTTCTCAATTGAGATGTTGAAACAATAAGATTGATACTGATTATTCTTATCCTATCTGGAAAAGCTGAGAATGGAATTCTTTATGGTCCTTGAACAAAGTCAGTTTTCTGCTATTTCGGATATACAATTTTTCATTAGTTTATATTTTCAAAGGCAAAGGAAAAAGACCTTAGTGAAAGAGAGAGAAAGCAAATTAGAAAAAAAAATAAAGATCAGAGAAAAGAGATTTAAGTAAACAACACATATTTTATAAATCTTGAAATATTTTCCTTTGTGTTCTTTTAAAACAAATATTCTGTTTGTATATTCTTTTTGCAGTTGTGGTCGGAGTTGGAGGCCAAAAGAAATAACAGATTATCATGAATAAAAATTATACTTGTAATGTTTTGAGGCCAAATTCAAAAAACCTTACAACATGATCGATATGGAAAGAACGAATTGAGAAGCCAAAAGGCATAATCAGTAAAGAAAAAGGATTTATACAGCCAAAAAACCCTGAAGAGATAGAATTTAAAAAAATAGTTTCGGCATTGCCCCTTCCCTTTCATGTTTTGTGTGCTTTCAAGTCAGTGTCAACTCCTGGCTACTGTCTGAACTTGTTCCTACAGTTTTCTTGGCAATGTTTTACTTGCCTCTGAAGGCCCAAAGTAAAATTTATTTTTAGTGCACAATGTATTCCTTGATTTCACTTTTTCCCTTTTATTAATCGTAAGCATACAGTGGCATACAAATACAATACATATTAAAGTATCATTCCACTATATTATCAGATGCCACTTTTCCAATGGCATTCCAATTATATTGAAGAACAGAATTGGTTAGTTCTAATAAGAACTACTTCAATGTGATTCATCTTTCAACTTTCTAAAAAGAAGAGAAGGAATATAGAGTTCCACCTTTTGTGGAAGCATTTGTCAACCCCTTTGTATAGATAATCATGCTGTACCAAGGGTGAAATCCAGCAGGTTCTGACAGGTTCTGGAGAACAGGTAGCAGAAATTTTGAGTAGTTCGGAGAACGAGCAAATACCACTTCTGGCTGGCCCCAGAGTGGGTGGGAATGGAGATTTTGCAATATCCTTCCCCCAGGAGTGGGGTGAGAATGGAGATTTTGCAGTATCCTTCCCCTGCCATGCCCACTAAGCCATGCCCACCATGCCCCACCACGCCCACCAAGCCACACCCACAGAACCGGTAGTAAAAAAAAAAATGGATTTCAGCACTGTGCTATACCCATGAAAGTTAACTATTTGTTGATGTTCCTTCCAATCAGATCTCTACTTTAGGTATCATATAAGTGTTATTATTATAAAAGTAGCAGAAATGTTATAAAATATGATCTAAATAATTGAACAAAGAAAAGAGTAGCCATGTTATTATACAGACTGATTGGGTCTGCAGCATACCTTCCCTACCTGATCAAGTGGGACAGGCTGATGTAATAGGGTGAAGTTGGTTCCTTAGGTAGCCTTCCTGTATAATGTCCCATATAGGACTTTATAGGTGATAACCAACACTTCGAATTGGACCTGGGAGCAAACTGGCAAAAGTGTACTTCATGGAACAAAGATGTTACATGTGGCCTTGATATGAGACTATGAGTCAGAAGAATAATTTTATCTATTTAAATTTACATTCCCCTCATTTTTACTTACTGAACATACACCTACCTAAATATAAATAGATTATGCAGTATGATGTGAATAAATATGTAAAACTCGTTTCATTGTGAATGATGTAAATTCATGAACATTCATATTTTATCTTTTTTCAAAGAATACAAAATATTTTTATTTTATCTATTTTGTACTAACTATATGGTCAATCACCAGCAAAAATAGTAAAATATGAAAACATTGCTAAAGCCAGAATCTGTAGTATATCTTTATATGGAATCCTGGGGAAATTATGATAGATTCAGTACACTAGTGAAGAACAAATTCTGAAAAAAAGGTAGATCTTATTAAAACAAAAGTATTGCTATTGTATATTAATAGAGCTTAACCACTAAAATGGTTAAGCAAAACCACAGCAGTTTAAAAGTATACCAAGCTTTTTCAAAATATAACACTCCTTACATTTCAAGGATGGCTTGAAATATCTGAAGAGAAATAGAACTGCTATCTCCAAATTAGACCAGTAGGTAAAATGATAACATACTGGTGAGATTCATAAATCATGAATTGGATAATACGCCATGACAATAGTCTATTCTACAATGAGTAAAAGAAAAGGAGATGGGGCTAATGCAGTACATGCTTGCTCAACACTTATATACTTAATTATGTCAAAAACCTAGTTTTTAGCATAGTTAAAATAGCATAGTTTTGCTCCCAATCAGTTATAATGCTTTATAGCTATTTTACAGCAAAAAAATAATAATGAATAAATGTGTGTGTATTTAAAAAAATATATACTTCACAAAGAATATAATTGCTAAAAATTTTGTATACATTACTAACTGCCTTAATAGGTCAGTTTTGTATTCCAGTTGCAGTTTTTCTTATAACTTAAAAATGCAGGATATATCATAATATCATAGTCTCAAGGTCTTAAGTTTACTATGCCTGATTTCCTAATGCAGGCAATTAATAATACTTTCTTCCAGAAGTTTATTATCATTTATCTTCTCTTATGCATACATTCTATGATGAAGATTTATTAATCTTAAACTTGTTTTAAAAGCACTTGTTGCTTGTCCACAACTCAACATGATATATTTTTCAGCGGTTTTTCATTTTTGAAGGCAAAAATTCTATTAATGGTGACATGTTTGCAAATGCAGCAACAAAAATACTCATTCACACAAAAGAGAGAGGGAGGGAGGGAAAGAGAGAGGGAGAGGGGAGGATGGGGGGGGAGGGAGAGAAAGAGAGAGAAAGGGAGACCCAAAAAAGAATAGAACATGAAAAGAAAATGCTCATTCCTTGTTTTCTCTGAAGAAAAAAAGAGGGAAAATCATGGGGCAACAGTCAGTTTCACTGCTGAAATGTTCTCTTTACAAATGGAGCTGTTAAATTAGCTTTGGCTTATATCATCTCAATTGTCTAAAATAGGTTAAGACAAGAATACCTTCAAATAGCATATAGAGTGATATTATCATCACCATACAAACACAATGCAACTAAACTAAAAATAAATGAATTTTCCAACACCAAGGAAATCATGGAAACCCAACAATCCATAGTTGCCTTCAAACTGACAGTTTCATTGTATCAATGTAATCTGTCTCAGAAGAAATTAAGAAACATTTATTATCCAGATTATTAGAGTACAAATTAATTAACATCAGGTACAAGAAATCATATAAACAAAATAAAAACAAAACTTAAATTTAAATTTGAAAGCAGATTGAGCTTTACAGTGGCTTCAATTACTTCTGTTCAAGTGTACTTCAAATATGAATCTGTGACGTTGACAATATACAGTGAGATTTAAACTAATGCACTATGTGCATATTCATATATTAAGCTATATGAAGCACACACTGAAAAAGTCTCTTCATGAAATTGAAGCTTGCTTAAATTATTAATTTATAAATAGTTTGAACTATTAATTTATCGTTTGGATTACTTTTGACCAGAATATCATATTATTCTGCCCTCAGTAATGAAAGTACCCAGTTCTGGTATATACAGTATGTAGTTATAAACAGAATGGGAGAAAAAAAATCTTTTCTTTCACTCACCAGGGGCACCAGGTGTTTTAAATGCCACCAGAAGGATGCTCCAGGCAAGATCTTGCTGTCCAAGATAGTTTGGCATAGATTAGTGGAAGCTTTTGTGTCTTGGCAAGTTTTGATCAAGACCCAATGTTGTAAGTCTAGAGGGCTTTCATGAGGTGCAGAGTACATTGTATTTGTTTTAATTGCTAGTGGCAGTTTGACTAATTATATTTAATTTAAAATGATAATTTTATGCTAATTTAAAAACAGAATGGATTGGCAGACAAAAAAAGTAGTTCAGTTTTTCTCTTTCGGGACTAACTAGTAAACTGGTAAAAAGTCACAGGAGTTTGTTTTTATATATGACAACTGCAATGAAACTATTATATGTTCAAAAT